GGGTTTAGGGGCTAAACTCCTAGTATCCCCATTAATAACCCCTATAATTCTCCCCTATTTTATCCCGTATATAACCGCCTATAAGAAGTTAAGACTATGGCTTATATGAGCTACTGTCAATATCAGGTTTCTTAAGGTAGGGTTCAGGGTTTAGGGTTTTGAGGGGTCTATACGGGGTTTCTAAAAATAGGGAGGAGCTTTTTCGGAATCTCTCTGTAGCAAGGTTCACAATATATATAGGGGTCTACATTGTCTAAATTGGGGTCCACTTGCGTAGGCAACGCTACCATACAGGCATACGTTAAAAAAACAAAAAAAAGATGCTACATAGGGGTTATGATGTTCGACCCTTTTTAAACGAGTAGGGCTCCCCCGTCATGGCCCTCAGACAAATAGAAATTCAGGACCCTCAATACGGTCCCTCAGAACCTCCCGTCGTTCTGAGAGCTCTGACGATTGATTTAAAAGGGGATGGTAACGGCCCCGCTCTGAAGGCTGAGTTGGAAAAGGATTGTAAAAGGCATGCCTTTCAGCCTCAGAATTTACATGGGCCCAGGGCTGCCAGGTTAAAGAGGACCTCAAAACAATGGGCATTAAAGAGGACCCAGAGGCCTGCTAGACTACTCCCTTTGCCCAAATGATTACGGCAAAGAATTTAAGGTTAGAAAAGGGTTTTATATAAACTGGTGGGCTGCAGGTTTAGGATTTGGTATCTGGATTCTGGATCTAAAGCTCTGAAGGCTGCGTTGGAGCAGGATTTTAGAAGGCATGCCTGTAAAATTTGAGAGGAACAAATTTTTTCCTATATCTTGAGAGCCCCAAAATCAAAGCACATTATAGGAGGCCTCACAATCATTACTCCCAGTCCTCAATAAGCGGGCCCCAAAACACATGAAAGCGGCCTCTACACTAAGGGGGAGTGGAACATTGTAGGGGACATATCGGTTTTGTAGGGTGTAGTGTTTCAGGTTCTGAACGTTGGGGTTAGCTTTTGCATCTCCGAGTCCCCCCTACCCAAGCAACGAAGAACCATCCGGAAAGACACGGTTAGGTTGCTACCCTGTAAACCCCAAACCCTAAACGCCCTCTATAATCCTTGTATAATCCCTATAGAAGTCTTATATAAGCCTTATATCAGGGACAGTTTCAGGTGG